CCCATTACTAGCCACGGGCTATTAATGTTAAGCTCCAAGTTTGCTAGATGATCCCAAAGGGCCTTCCTCTCAAGAGCCGTGTAGAGAGCATACACAAAAGTAACAAGATAGTCAATTTGAGTAACCTTACAAGTGGCGGTAAGGTGTACATGTTGCTTATCAATTTCAAGTACATTTATATGAACAAAATGTGGGTCCCAAATGATGCCAATACGACCACCATCAATTTTGTCAAAATTAGTAATAGATAGCCAAGAAGGTAATCTATTTGAACTAAAATTAACAAAATTAGTAGTAGTCATTTTGGTTTCAAGAAGACAACACAAATGAATATTATTAGTACGAATAAACTTAAGAATAGAGTTTTGTTTGGAGACCTTATTGAGGCCTCTTATATTCCATGCGGACACAATCATCAAGGCTTTTTGTTGTTCTTCCTCCTCCCTCCATTCTTCCCTTTGAGTCTCGGCCTATCCACTTTTTCCCCAAAGGAATGGCTCGGCCTTGCTCTCTCTTTGTACCTAGAAAGATACAATAAAGTATATGGATACTCAATGAACCAAGAGTTAAAATCATACCCATATTCCGTAGGAAAGACCCCCGGAATAGCCTCCAAGCATTTGATTGTGAATGTGAGTCCCACGGTGAGCACATCTTGGGTGACTCTCAAGTAGTTATCAAGCCTCACCATTTGCTCATTAACTTCATCAAAGTGTAGTAGGTGAATCAAAGGTAGGTTGTCTTCCCCAAGTTCAAGCTTCACAATTACATCATCTCGGTATGCATCTCTAATGTCTTTTACCACCCGTACTTTGTTGTAATCAACCATATTTGGACGCTTCACAAGAGATGCTTTTCCCCTTGGACACCCATCTTCATAATATCTACAAAGATAGTGTCTTAAAACACTCCTCATAAAGGTGGGGCCGAAAATGTACCCTTTGTTAGTGCAAGAGATACCGGGCAGCCCCTCTAATGTTTCTTTTGTAAATAGCATTCCGGGTTGGTCTTCTTCCACAATCTTAAGATGATGATCCATCTTTAGTATTATAGCACTCTTATCAACATGTGTTTTGTGAGTAACATTGATAGTAGGCATGAGAACTTCATCGGTTTTCATTTCAACTATCACCTCATCTTGGTAGGTGTCATGAAAATTATGTACTTTTCGGATAAGTACATCCTCACCATCCTTGAAATCGGATGTGCCACCCTCCCCCCTAATGGGCTTTTTCTTTCCCATTTTAAAGAACCGGAACCTCTTGAAGAAAGGATGGTCTCTTTTGGTGACAAAGAGATCACTTTGCTCATTGACATCCTCTTCCACGCTTACTGTTTTGGCAGTTTCAATGCCCACTGTTTTAGGGCTCTCGGCCTCTTCTCTCTCAACAACAACCCCCTTGCCCTTCTTTATAATATCTTCCTTTTCTTTCTTCTCTATCTCGGCAATGATAGTACATGTAAAAGCGTGGTGCCCAAACTCTTTACAATGGAAGCAATAATTAGGAAAAGTCTCATACCGCACATATTGTGTGTGTAGCTTGCCATTTGGTAACTTGATTTTGAATTGAAGTGGAGGCGGTTTGGAAGCGTCTACTTCAATTAGTACTCTTGCGAAGTTGGATCTAGCCTTTTCAAGTGTAACTTTATCCGTGGTTAAAGGTATGCCAACCTTTGATGCCACCTCACTAATGATGTCTTCCTCCCAAATTCGCATGGGGAGATGTGGAAATTGTACCCAAATAGGTACTTTGAGGAATTCATCATCATTCATAGAGAAATCATCCGAGAGCAACTTCAAGGGAATATTTTTGCCAAACATAGTATATGGCCCTTCCATGAGCACTTTAGCTCTATCTTTCTCATTTTGGAACTTGAAGATGACCCATCCTTTATCATGACTTCTAAACCGTGTAGGGACATTCCATTTTTGCACAAGGGTTTGTAAATTCTTGTAACCGGGGTACCCATTGTCAAAGTAACCGACTAGGCAATGACCCCAAATAGCAATCATGGATGGTAGCACTCGGGTGGATAGGTCAATAATTTCGCCTTTAGGCTCAATATATCTTAGCTTCATACCCTTGTCGGGTTCTCTATTATCCTTGAAAAGTGAAACAAATGAGGGTTTAGACTTTCCCCATTTGTTACCTCCCAGAGCCAGAATGTTATTGGAAGTAGGCTCACTGGAAGCCGTGGCCTGCCTGGATGCCGTGGTCTGGTTGGTTTGTGCCGCGGACTGCATAGAAGTGGATGCCACATTCTGGATGATTGGTGCCTCAGGGTGGGTGGCATTGGGTACAGGTGCCACACTTGTGCCGTTATTGCTTGCTTCCTCAGTTTGTTGGGTAAGTGCTTTATTAGCCTCAGCCGCTTCAAGTTCCAGGAATTCTTTAACTTCAGAGTCAAGAGCGTACTCTTCTTCAATCACAACTTGCTCCACAAAATTATCCCCAGGTATAGGGTCCATGTTTGTGTCCATTCCAGCAGTTCGGGTTGAGGAGGTAACCTCCTCAGTTAAGTCCTTGCCATCATGAGTAGATTGCAGATTAACATCACCCGACTGGGTGTCTTCTTCCAAGGAGTTCTCCAGGATGGGTTCCAGAGCAATAGAGGACCCAGCATCCTTGAGATGGTTATATTTCGTATCCTTAGCAATTAATGAGGTACCTTCCAGGTTTTGCTCAATTGCCTCATCAATCTCTTTATTTTGTTTGGCTCTAAGCCGGGAGGATGATTTGGTAGGTGTAGGCATATCCTTCTTTTTTTTCGTAGTCATGGTAAGAAGGAGAAGAGGGGTAGTAGAGACCCCTTCTAAGTAACCATCGTCTTCCTTTCCTCTTTGAAGCTCTGGCGTACAGAACCGGAAGTAACCGTTGGAGAGTTGACCAAAATTCAACCTTTCTTGATGCTTAAAAGCAGAAGATATGCTTAATCTTCACACCAAGGGGAATCCAACAACACCTCCCAAACAAAAATTGATCGAGATAAACCGAAGTTATGGGCGTTGACCTTCTCGGATGAACAGTATTGACGCAGAGTTCTGGAGTGAAAAACCGACCAAAATCTGAAAAGCCAAGCTCAAAACTGAAGACCTTACACCCCAAAAGAGTTTAAGGAGTAAAGTAATCAATGTCCAAGCTCCGATTGACGATTATGGAAGAAACGAGTTGGATTTGCGTAGAAGAGCCTCGAAGAGAGGGAGAGAATCAGCTCTCAACTTCTAACCCACCCATTGCAACTCGAAATGAGATCATACGATGTCGTATTCAAAATTTAAGCCAATCTTCGTGACTCGGTTGATTTAGTAAGCCTGAAAACACTGAAGAGTTGTATGTTTTTTTTCTATTCATAATTTGGACTTGAGTCGTGAACGAGAATTGTGTATTTTTGCATAGGGAACCCATTGCAACTCAAAATGAGATCATACGATGTCGTATTCAAAATTTAATCCAATCTTCGTGACTCGGTTGATTTAGTAAGCCTGAAAACACTAAGAGTTGTATGTTATTTTCTATTCTTAATTTGGACTTGAGTCGTGAACGAGAATTGTGTATTTTTGCACAGGGAACCTATTTCAACTCGAAATGAGATCATACGATGTCGTATTCAAAATTTAAGCCAATCTTCGTGACTCGGTTGATTTAGTAAGCCCGAAAACACTGAAGAGTTGTATGTTTTTTTCTATTCATAATTTGGACTTGAGTCGTGAACGATAATTGTGTATTTTTGCATAGGGAACCCATTGCAACTCGAAATAAGATCATACGATGTCGTATTCAAAATTTAAGCCAATCTTCGTGACTCGGTTGATTTAGTAAGCCTGAAAACACTAAAAAGTTGTATGTCTTTTTCTATTCATAATTTGGACTTGAGTCGTGAACGAGAATTGTGTATTTTGCATAGGGAACCCATTGCAACTCGAAATGAGATCATACGATGTCGTATTCAAAATTTAAGCCAATCTTCGTGACTCGGTTGATTTAGTAAGCCTGAAAACACTGAAGAGTTGTATGTTTTTTTCTATTCATAATTTGGACTTGAGTCGTGAACGAGAATTGTGTATTTTTGCATAGGGAACCCATTGCAACTCGAAATGAGATCATACGATGTTGTATTCAAAATTTAAGCCAATCTTCGTGACTTGGTTGATTTAGTAAGCCTGAAGACACTGAAGAGTTGTATGTTTTTTTTCTATTCATAATTTGGACTTGAGTCGTGAACGAGAATTGTGTATTTTTGCATAGGGAACCTATTTCAACTCGAAATGAGATCATACGATGTCGTATTCAAAATTTAAGCCAATCTTCGTGACTCGGTTGATTTAGTAAGACTAAAAACACTGAAGAGTTGTATGTTTTTTTCTATTCATAATTTGGACTTGAGTCCTGAACGAGAATTGTGTGTTTTTGCATAGGGAACCCATTTCAACTCGAAATGAGATCATACGATGTCGTATTCAAAATTTAAGCCAATCTTCGTGACTCGGTTGATTTAGTAAGACTAAAAACACTGAAGAGTTGTATGTTTTTTTCTATTCATAATTTGGACTTGAGTCGTGAACGAGAATTGTGTATTTTTGCATAGGGAACCCATTGCAACTCAAAATGAGATCATACGATGTCGTATTCAAAATTTAATCCAATCTTCGTGACTCGGTTGATTTAGTAAGCCTGAAAACACTGAAGAGTTGTATGTTATTTTCTATTCTTAATTTGGACTTGAGTCGTGAACGAGAATTGTGTATTTTTGCATAGGGAACCTATTTCAACTCGAAATGAGATCATACGATGTCGTATTCAAAATTTAAGCCAATCTTCGTGACTCGGTTGATTTAGTAAGCCCGAAAACACTGAAGAGTTGTATGTTTTTTTCTATTCATAATTTGGACTTGAGTCGTGAACGAGAATTGTGTATTTTTGCATAGGGAACCCATTGCAACTCGAAATAAGATCATACGATGTCGTATTCAAAATTTAAGCCAATCTTCGTGACTCGGTTGATTTAGTAAGCCTGAAAACACTAAAAAGTTGTATGTCTTTTTCTATTCATAATTTGGACTTGAGTCGTGAACGAGAATTGTGTATTTTTCATAGGGAACCCATTGCAACTCGACGATAATATGTAAGTATATTAGAAACCGAAAAAATAGCATTTTACAATGCATCAATCCAAATCAAAATGACTATCTAAGCTAGAATAAACTAACCTAGATATAATGCATCAAGATAATGGGACAAACCCCACTTCACAAATCACTAATTAAATAAAAGTCCAGTCCATCTAAGGAATCTATAGTTTCCCCTTCCAAGAACTATTTTATCTTTCTTCCAATCATTCTTCCAAGCCGTCTTTTGTACTTCTCATCTGTCTCACCCTTTCTCCGCCTACTTTTTTTGGTGGTTTTCTTGAAATGGTGTTCCTGATCCGGTTCCTCTTCAGTCTGATACTGGTTTTCAGAATCAGTAGTATCACCCTTCTCATCCGTATCCGAGTCAAGATGAACCTCATCCATCTTACTCGATTTCTCCTCACCTGAAATGGAAGTTGGCAGAAGTGTAGCAGCCGGTTTGGCAGTAGCATTTTCCGTTTGGGAATCCGGCACATCAAGTTCCGTCATAGATACTGCAGTCCTGGCTTCCTCCTCCCTAAGTACAGTTTCCAAACTCTCAATTAATTCCCCCATCTTTAACTCACCTATCTTCACTTCCTTAGTTTTCTCTTCATTGGTCACTATCACTTGGGATGTAGCGGCATAAACATCTTTTTCTTCAAAATCATTTTTTTCCTTCACTTCCTTCTCATGTAGTTTTTTACAAATGAACGGGTTATGCCCATATTCTTTGCAATGGAAACAGAAATTTGGGAAAGTTTCATAAACCACCAATTGTTTGATTACCTTATGTGAAGGTAATCGGATAGGAAATGAAAGTGGGGGCGGTTTGGACACATCAACTTCAATAAGCACCCTAGCAAAGTTATGATTGCTCCTCTCTTGGGTGATCAAGTCGGTAGTAAGTGGCACCCCTACCATAGAGGCAACTTCACTCATGGCATCTTTATTCCATAGTTTCATCGGTAGGTGTGGGAATTTAACCCAAATCGGCACTTTAAGGAACTCTTCATCGTCAAACGTGAAGTCTTCCGATAAAACCTTCAACATGAGTAGCTTGCCGAAGATGGTGTAAGGTCCCTCATTTAGTACTTTCATTCTGTCCGCATCCGTTTGGAATTTAAAAATCACCCAACCTTTATCATGTGACCTGATTTGGCATTTTACACCCCACTTGAATTTCAGTTCATGGATCGCTTTTAGGCCGGGGAAGCGACCCGTGAAACAGCCCACAAGACAGTACCCCCACATGTCCACCATGGAAGGCATAACTCTGTTAGAGAGGTCCAGAAAATTACCCTTAGGAGGGACAAATTTCAGTTTGATCCCATGAGATGGGGCTCGATTATCCTTAAAGAGTGTACTCCATGGCTTCTTAGTGTTTTCATTCATAGTAATAGCCCCAAAGTTACTATCAGGATTCCCAGCAATTACTTTGGTAACAGCAGGATCAGCAGCTACTGGAACCACAATGTTTCCAGTAAGGACCTTCGGCAGATCAACCTTCACAGAACTCCCTGGTACTACCATAGTCTTCACACTTTGTTTTTTATTCACAGGAGGGTGAACTGGCATATCCTTCACAACAGTCCCAGGTCCAGTTGACCCAATTCTCTGTTGCGCATCTACTGCCTGCTTCTTTCCTAAAATCCCAGAGTTCAGGATAGGGAAATCATCCAAATCATCATCCAAATCTTGTAACACGTTGAAACTAGCTGCAGACCTGGTAATTCTGGAGGAAGATTCCTCACCTCCCCCCTGTTTCTTTCTCGCCATGTAAGAAAAGTGACGATGAACAGTACTTCGTAAAGCAGAAATCAATGTCGAGCTACCTCCTCTTCGGCCAGGTTTAGGAAGCTGCGTAATACCATCAGTTCCGCAGAAGAGTGTTGAAGCTGCGCACTGTCGACTACTTCCTCGCACTCGTTAACAATCAGCGAACTCAGGAAATCGGCTCTTCTTGATGGTTGAAAAGAGTGTATATGCTTGATCCACACATCTAGGGGAGCCCAATAACACCTATCAGGAGGAGATTGGACAGGAGGAAACCGAAATAGGGGCGTTGACCTTGCGTCGTGAACAGTAACGCCGACTGTGTTCGTAGCTAAAACCAGTCCAAAAATCCCAAAAAATAGCTTAAAAGTTGCAGAGTTAACACCCCAAAGGAGCCAGCCAAAATCCAAGCTCAAAGAAGCAGATTAATGGAAGAAAAAGGGGACATTGGAGTTTTGACGTGAAGAACCTCTTACGCGAGGGAGAGAGCAGCTCTCAACTTCAACCCAACCCAATACCCATTGCAACTCGAAATGAGATCATACGATGTCGTATTCAAAATTTAAGCCAATCTTCGTGACTCGGTTGATTTAGTAAGCCTGAAAACACTGAAGAGTTGTATGTTTTTTTCTATTCATAATTTGGACTTGAGTCGTGAACGAGAATTGTGTATTTTTGCATAGGGAACCCATTGCAACTCGAAATGAGATCATACGATGTTGTATTCAAAATTTAAGCCAATCTTCGTGACTTGGTTGATTTAGTAAGCCTGAAGACACTGAAGAGTTGTATGTTTTTTTCTATTCATAATTTGGACTTGAGTCGTGAACGAGAATTGTGTATTTTTGCATAGGGAACCTATTTCAACTCGAAATGAGATCATACGATGTCGTATTCAAAATTTAAGCCAATCTTCGTGACTCGGTTGATTTAGTAAGACTAAAAACACTGAAGAGTTGTATGTTTTTTTCTATTCATAATTTGGACTTGAGTCCTGAACGAGAATTGTGTGTTTTTGCATAGGGAACCCATTTCAACTCGAAATGAGATCATACGATGTCGTATTCAAAATTTAAGCCAATCTTCGTGACTCGGTTGATTTAGTAAGACTAAAAACACTGAAGAGTTGTATGTTTTTTTCTATTCATAATTTGGACTTGAGTCGTGAACGAGAATTGTGTATTTTTGCATAGGGAACCCATTGCAACTCGAAATGAGTTCATACGATGTCGTATTCGAAATTTAAGCCAATCTTCGTGACTCGGTTGATTTAGTAAGCCTGAAAACACTGAAGAGTTGTATGTTTTTTTCTATTCATAATTTGGACTTGAGTCGTGAACGAGAATTGTGTATTTTTGCATAGAGAACCTATTTCAACTCGAAATGAGATCATACTATGTCGTATTCAAAATTTAAGCCAATCTTCGTGACTCGGTTGATTTAGTAAGACTAAAAACACTGAAGAGTTGTATGTTTTTTTCTATTCATAATTTGGACTTGAGTCCTGAACGAGAATTGTGTGTTTTTGCATAGGGAACCCATTTCAACTCGAAATGAGATCATACAATGTCGTATTCAAAATTTAAGCCAATCTTCGTGACTCGGTTGATTTAGTAAGCCTGAAAACACTGAAGAGTTGTATGTTTTTTTCTATTCATAATTTGGACTTGAGTCGTGAACGAGAATTGTGTATTTTTGCATAGGGAACCTATTTCAACTCGAAATGAGATCATACGATGTCGTATTCAAAATTTAAGTCAATCTTTGTGACCTGGTTGATTTAGTAAGCCTGAAAACACTGAAGAGTTGTATGTTTTTTTCTATTCATAATTTGGACTTGAGTCGTGAACGAGAATTGTGTATTTTTGCATAGGGAACCTATTTCAACTCGAAATGAGATCATACGATGTCGTATTCAAAATTTAAGCCAATCTTCGTGACTCGGTTGATTTAGTAAGCCTGAAAACACTGAAGAGTTGTATGTTATTTTCTATTCTTAATTTGGACTTGAGTCGTGAACGAGAATTGTGTATTTTTGCATAGGGAACCTATTTCAACTCGAAATGAGATCATACGATGTCGTATTCAAAATTTAAGCCAATCTTCGTGACTCGGTTGATTTAGTAAGCCCGAAAACACTGAAGAGTTGTATGTTTTTTTCTATTCATAATTTGGACTTGAGTCGTGAACGAGAATTGTGTATTTTTGCATAGGGAACCCATTGCAACTCGAAATAAGATCATACGATGTCGTATTCAAAATTTAAGCCAATCTTCGTGACTCGGTTGATTTAGTAAGCCTGAAAACACTAAAAAGTTGTATGTCTTTTTCTATTCATAATTTGGACTTGAGTCGTGAACGAGAATTGTGTATTTTTCATAGGGAACCCATTGCAACTCGAAATGAGATCATACGATGTCGTATTCAAAATTTAAGCCAATCTTCGTGACTCGGTTGATTTAGTAAGCCTGAAAACACTGAAGAGTTGTATGTTTTTTTCTATTCATAATTTGGACTTGAGTCGTGAACGAGAATTGTGTATTTTTGCATAGGGAACCCATTGCAACTCGAAATGAGATCATACGATGTTGTATTCAAAATTTAAGCCAATCTTCGTGACTTGGTTGATTTAGTAAGCCTGAAGACACTGAAGAGTTGTATGTTTTTTTCTATTCATAATTTGGACTTGAGTCGTGAACGAGAATTGTGTATTTTTGCATAGGGAACCTATTTCAACTCGAAATGAGATCATACGATGTCGTATTCAAAATTTAAGCCAATCTTCGTGACTCGGTTGATTTAGTAAGACTAAAAACACTGAAGAGTTGTATGTTTTTTTCTATTCATAATTTGGACTTGAGTCCTGAACGAGAATTGTGTGTTTTTGCATAGGGAACCCATTTCAACTCGAAATGAGATCATACGATGTCGTATTCAAAATTTAAGCCAATCTTCGTGACTCGGTTGATTTAGTAAGACTAAAAACACTGAAGAGTTGTATGTTTTTTTCTATTCATAATTTGGACTTGAGTCGTGAACGAGAATTGTGTATTTTTGCATAGGGAACCCATTGCAACTCGAAATGAGTTCATACGATGTCGTATTCGAAATTTAAGCCAATCTTCGTGACTCGGTTGATTTAGTAAGCCTGAAAACACTGAAGAGTTGTATGTTTTTTTCTATTCATAATTTGGACTTGAGTCGTGAACGAGAATTGTGTATTTTTGCATAGAGAACCTATTTCAACTCGAAATGAGATCATACCATGTCGTATTCAAAATTTAAGCCAATCTTCGTGACTCGGTTGATTTAGTAAGACTAAAAACACTGAAGAGTTGTATGTTTTTTTCTATTCATAATTTGGACTTGAGTCCTGAACGAGAATTGTGTGTTTTTGCATAGGGAACCCATTTCAACTCGAAATGAGATCATACAATGTCGTATTCAAAATTTAAGCCAATCTTCGTGACTCGGTTGATTTAGTAAGCCTGAAAACACTGAAGAGTTGTATGTTTTTTTCTATTCATAATTTGGACTTGAGTCGTGAACGAGAATTGTGTATTTTTGCATAGGGAACCTATTTCAACTCGAAATGAGATCATACGATGTCGTATTCAAAATTTAAGTCAATCTTTGTGACCTGGTTGATTTAGTAAGCCTGAAAACACTGAAGAGTTGTATGTTTTTTTCTATTCATAATTTGGACTTGAGTCGTGAACGAGAATTGTGTATTTTTGCATAGGGAACCCATTGCAACTCGAAATAAGATCATACGATGTCGTATTCAAAATTTAAGCCAATCTTCGTGACTCGGTTGATTTAGTAAGCCTGAAAACACTAAAAAGTTGTATGTCTTTTTCTATTCATAATTTGGACTTGAGTCGTGAACGAGAATTGTGTATTTTTCATAGGGAACCCATTGCAACTCGAAATGAGATCATACGATGTCGTATTCAAAATTTAAGCCAATCTTCGTGACTCGGTTGATTTAGTAAGCCTGAAAACACTGAAGAGTTGTATGTTTTTTTCTATTCATAATTTGGACTTGAGTCGTGAACGAGAATTGTGTATTTTTGCATAGGGAACCCATTGCAACTCGAAATGAGATCATACGATGTTGTATTCAAAATTTAAGCCAATCTTCGTGACTTGGTTGATTTAGTAAGCCTGAAGACACTGAAGAGTTGTATGTTTTTTTCTATTCATAATTTGGACTTGAGTCGTGAACGAGAATTGTGTATTTTTGCATAGGGAACCTATTTCAACTCGAAATGAGATCATACGATGTCGTATTCAAAATTTAAGCCAATCTTCGTGACTCGGTTGATTTAGTAAGACTAAAAACACTGAAGAGTTGTATGTTTTTTTCTATTCATAATTTGGACTTGAGTCCTGAACGAGAATTGTGTGTTTTTGCATAGGGAACCCATTTCAACTCGAAATGAGATCATACGATGTCGTATTCAAAATTTAAGCCAATCTTCGTGACTCGGTTGATTTAGTAAGACTAAAAACACTGAAGAGTTGTATGTTTTTTTCTATTCATAATTTGGACTTGAGTCGTGAACGAGAATTGTGTATTTTTGCATAGGGAACCCATTGCAACTCGAAATGAGTTCATACGATGTCGTATTCGAAATTTAAGCCAATCTTCGTGACTCGGTTGATTTAGTAAGCCTGAAAACACTGAAGAGTTGTATGTTTTTTTCTATTCATAATTTGGACTTGAGTCGTGAACGAGAATTGTGTATTTTTGCATAGAGAACCTATTTCAACTCGAAATGAGATCATACCATGTCGTATTCAAAATTTAAGCCAATCTTCGTGACTCGGTTGATTTAGTAAGACTAAAAACACTGAAGAGTTGTATGTTTTTTTCTATTCATAATTTGGACTTGAGTCCTGAACGAGAATTGTGTGTTTTTGCATAGGGAACCCATTTCAACTCGAAATGAGATCATACAATGTCGTATTCAAAATTTAAGCCAATCTTCGTGACTCGGTTGATTTAGTAAGCCTGAAAACACTGAAGAGTTGTATGTTTTTTTCTATTCATAATTTGGACTTGAGTCGTGAACGAGAATTGTGTATTTTTGCATAGGGAACCTATTTCAACTCGAAATGAGATCATACGATGTCGTATTCAAAATTTAAGTCAATCTTTGTGACCTGGTTGATTTAGTAAGCCTGAAAACACTGAAGAGTTGTATGTTTTTTTCTATTCATAATTTGGACTTGAGTCGTGAACGAGAATTGTGTATTTTTGCATAGGGAACCTATTTCAACTCGAAATGAGATCATACGATGTCGTATTCAAAATTTAAGCCAATCTTCGTGACTCGGTTGATTTAGTAAGACTAAAAACACTGAAGAGTTGTATGTTTTTTTCTATTCATAATTTGGACTTGAGTCCTGAACGAGAATTGTGTGTTTTTGCATAGGGAACCCATTTCAACTCGAAATGAGATCATACGATGTCGTATTCAAAATTTAAGCCAATCTTCGTGACTCGGTTGATTTAGTAAGACTAAAAACACTGAAGAGTTGTATGTTTTTTTCTATTCATAATTTGGACTTGAGTCGTGCACGAGAATTGTGTA